ACTTAAGGTATAATTTAAAAAATTGCTGTATATCTTTATATCTACATAGATATACATAATTTATTAAAAATATGAAGTAATAGCTAAAAATGGTGTATAGGAGAGAGAAACACCAAATTTGGGAGAGTATTTACTTGGAGGGAGAGATAGGAGAGAACTACCCTGAAATCAAACTAAAAGTAAGAGTGGCAGGATTTTAGAATTCTTTGAAAAATCAGTAGTAGGTACATGGCTGTCCTTGATGCTATTTTATGTACTTTTTGTATGCAAGAAATATTTTATAATAAAAGTGTAAAAGTATTAAAAAGAAGTCTAAAGAATATTAGTCAAAGGAGCATCCTAGAAAAATCGAGAGGTAAAATAGAGTAATTCTTTCTGCAAGCTACCTAAGTAAGAAGGCACTGTGTACAGGGGACAAAAAAGTAACCACAGAGACATAGCATCTCCATCCCTCACCTCGGGGTCTCTGGAAGGCCTGTGATTTCCCTGCTGGGGCTTTCCTATGGGTATTTCCTACTCTTGGACAGACTTTTCTTTGATGAAACGCTTCAAACCCCAGCTTCCACAAACACCACCAGTATCGCTATGATGCTGTGTGGTCATCTGTCCGTCCACCTGTGGGTCACTACCCCCTCATTCTTGAAGGTTTGAGCTCTTAGGTCACTGTCCCTCTCTCTGTCATCCGCAGAGATGATCTTCTTTGACCCTGGCCTCTTTCCTTGCACTTCTTTCCTCCAATGACTGTCTCTTGCTTGGATATTGCAGTACTCTCCTGACTGGTCCCCCTTCTCTGGCATCATTCCCTACCTCATCAATTCTTAACAGTAGCCAGCCAGAGACATCCTTTTAAAACACTGAGTCATGTTCCTTCTCTTCTCCAAGTCCCCAAGTGACTCCCACTCAGCGGAAAAGCCAAGCTACCCTCATTGCCTTCAAAGCACTACATTATTTGGCTCCTGGTACCTCCTCTCCTGCTGCCTTCCTGCTCATCACTCTGGGTTCCTGGATGCTCCTGGAACCTGCTAGGCATGCTCCTGCCTAATTTGTACCTACTGCTCCCTCTGCCTAGACCTTTTCACTCTAGATATCTCTATGGCTTGTTTCTTCTCTCACCTCCTGATATGGTTTGGCTGTGTCCTCACCCAAATCTTATCTTGAATTGTAGTACCCATAATCCCCAAGTGTTGTAGGAGGGAACAGGTGGGAGGTAATTTAACCATGGGGGTGGTTACCCTCATGCTGTTCTCCTGGTAGTGAGTGAGTTCTCATGAGATTTGATGGTTTTATAAGGGGCTTTCCCCTGTTTTGCTTGGCACTCTTCTCCTTCCTGCTGTCATGTGAAGAAGGACATGTTTGCTTCCCCTTCCACCCTGATTGTAAGCTTCCTGAGGCCTCCCAAGCCATGCTGAACTGTGAGTCAATTAAACCTTTTTTTATTTTTTAAATAAATTACCCAGTCTCAGGTATGTCTTTATTAGGAGTGTGAGAATGAACTAATTTACCTCCTTTAGGTCTTTGCTCCTCAATTGTCACATTTGTCGTGAGGTCTTCCTCGACTACTTTATTTAAAACTGCTCTCCCCATACACAATGCTTCCTATCTCTCTTTCAGCTTATTTTTTTTCTCTAGTATGTACCACCCTCTAATATGCTATGTAATTAATTTCTTTATTTTGTTTATAGCCTGTCTCCCTTCACTGGAATGTAATCTCCATTAGGACAGAGGTTTTCATATGTTTTATTGCTTTAATACATGTGCCTGGAACAGTGCTTCGCACAGAGAAGATTGTTGGGGGAAATAGCAATGGAGGAAGGGTTTACAGTGAGCCTACATAAACTGGTTAGAAGTAATGTATTAAAGAAATCAGGAACAATAAGCTGTGGAAGGCAGCAGGAGGCCTCTGGGGAGGAAGGCCTCTCTATGCCAGCATGTTCCCATGTACAGTGACCCAAGCTCTGACATTTTAAAAATGATGCTCAAGGAGGTAACACTCCTTTGAAGGGCTGGAATGTAGCCAGACATGTACGCTCCTTGTTAAGTCTTTTCCCACCAGCTGCAGATAGAGAATTACCTGCTTTTAGCTCTTAGAAAACTCACATAAACTGCCACTGCTATTAATCTTATGTTTGATGCACAGCTTTCCTTTCACCGGTTCACCCCACCATCTGCACTATAGATCAAAGTGATTGTATTTAATAAATATTGCAGAAAACCAGAGCTCAGGGCCTTTGCAGCCTCCATTTTGCAATAGCCCCCTGGCCCCACTTTATGCACTCTTAACCCATCTTTGTCTCATTGCTTGGTCAACACTGAACTCAGGGTACCCATGGGTAGTGTGTGAGGCTGGCACCCTATAAAGATGCAATTAAATACTTGCAGAAAGCCTTGGGCTTGCAAGAGGCTGTTCCATTGTTCCCCTCCGCTTTTCAACCATCTGTAGCTGCCTCCCTTGAAGCATCTTCCAGTTCCCATGGCCACTGCCCACACATGATTTCTGCCAGCATCTAAGCTGTTCTTGTGTTCTGGGGTGCTGGAACAATAGCTCACTTCCATGCTGGACTCCAGGTTGGGGTCAACAATAAGCATTTCTTTCCATAGCACAGGAGTATGTCATCTCCTGGATCTTCCTTTTTTCCTGGCTGTATAGCTGAAATGCATTCCAGAGAGTGAAATAAGATTAGTAATTACATTGGTTAAGCAGGCTAAATATCTGTAACAAGCAGATCCAAACTAATTATGGTTGAAACATAACAGAAGCTCACTTAGACCTCTAGTCTAAGTAGGTGTTCATGTCTGCAGATGGCTCTCCTCCATATGGTGACTCAGGGATCCAGTTTGATAGCAGCTTTGCCATCTTCAGCATGTGACTTCCACATTTGTCCAGCTGTCATCATTCAGGTTGGCACATAACTGCAAAGGAGGCTGAGGAGAATGGATTTTGGTGGACAAGTAGTTGCCTCCACAGGGTAATAATATTTATCATTTTCATCATTATGGTCTTAGTAGGAGGCATATATCTCAGTTGATAAACTCATGTATGCAAGAAATGTAACTTTGTGTTTTCTAAAATCTAACTTCTGTTTTCAGTCTCAGCCTGTTAAAGATGGCAGAATTTTAATTTTAGTCACTTTAAACATCCCTGTTCCCCTCTTTTCCTGGGGAGGGAGTTTAAGAGTAGGGTAGGGAGAAGTGCATAGTTCCTGATGTCATCTGCTTACACCAGTACCCATAGAGATGGCCATCATCTGGAGTAGGCTTTGAGCATCAGGATGCTGAAGAAGCATCCCTACATCCCAGCTGCATGGCTCTTCCAGGCCTGGAGTGGCTCTCTATGACTTCTCTGTCTGTCTTGTGGATACAGGAATCATTAGGTTGCTCTCATGCCATGACAACAACTCTTCAAGGCTCTGTGAGGCTCCATTTGGCAAGGCATCCCATGCAACTATTCTTACCTGGGCTATTGCTTTTCTTGGAGCTCAGCCCAGCTCTTGGATCCCACAACTCCATCTGGGGATTCTATTGCCTTCCCGGGGCTCAAATTTGGAGCAGGGAACAAGGTTGCTCTCTTTGGGACTCATCGGCATTTTTGTAACCTGGCCTTTTTCTTTCTCTTTTTCATCTCTCCAGGATGGAGATTTTTTCCTAGTATGACGAGGAGGGTAATTCTTGCTCTGGCTCACTTCTTATCTAGGCTGTGAATTCTTTCTTTTTCTCTAAGGGCCTGGGTTTTGGAAACTTAAAACTGAAAGGAGAGACCCCTTCCCTCTGCATTTGGCTGTCACATTCTCTTCACTGAGTAGAGAATAACCTGGTGGCTAGTGAGACGAAGGACCGAGGGGCATCGCATGGGGGAGGAAATGGCTTTTATTATCAATGGTCTCCCATCAAAAATGGGAGAATTGTGAAACATTTAAAAACCACAATTTTACCATTTGATAACACTAATGACAACAACAACAATGATGATGTAATTTACATCTATTGAGCATTTAGTGCATGCCAGATCCTCTCCTAAGTGCTCTCTACATACAGCATCTTTATTAATTGTCACAACAAATCTATATGTATTTAATATTAGTCTTATTTTCTATCAGAGCAGTCCAAGTTCAGCAAGGTAAAGGGATGTTCGTGTGTCAGGGTCTCACAGTTTGCAAACAATGGATCTGGGCCTCAGAGGCTAGCCTGCACCTAAAGTCTAGGCTCAACCACTGCAGCTCCTGGCCTCTTGGCAATATCCCTGGAGCCTCAGGACACCAAATGGGGAATCATTCTATTCTTTCATACCCTTATCAGGCAGGAGTGGGGCTGGCCTTCCTGATTCCCTGCCCAACGGAGGTGGGTTGTCCCTAGGGTGCTCCCACTGCCAGCCTCTTCCTCAGAACCTGGTTGCCCTCTCTGTTTCTGCTGTGGCTTATCTCATCTCCCTGCAGGTTTCCAACCTCTCTCTCTCTCTTTCCTGGTTGGACTTTACAAATAAAATAAAAATTTAGCTAAGAGCTCATACCACAAAAAGGGAAGAAGTGGTAAGTACAGGCAGCAAACAGGGCCCAAGAGTTAACATCCTGTTCCCACTGGGTACATGGGTTTTGCAAAGAGGGTGGGCCGAGGCTCCTGGGTCTGTGTTCTTGGGCCCTCCAGGTGGCCCCTCCTGACCATCTGGCTCATGCTGAGGCTGGACCTCCCAGGCTGTCCCCCAGATAGGCAAAGCCTTTTCCAGGTAGAATGTCTGTGACTTCAGAAAGACTTCAAACAATCTCTATTATCAGAGGACTATTCCTTTGGATTAAGAAGCTCCAAATACCAGATAGGCTCACTCTAAAAATTCAGGTATCAGACATTTTCACCTTAGTATAGCTAGGCTGAATCATCTGGCTTGGAGCAAGGCTCCCAGGGGACAGTCGTGTTGGTGGGCAGTGGGAAGGGAGGGGAACTTTGGAACATGATACAGGTGGGTTGGTGCAGGGGGCTGTGGGAGGGTACACAGCTGCATGTCTCTGCAGGTGAAGACTCCATCAACACCTTGGGCCTGATCCTTGGCGTGGGGCTGTCACTGCTGCTCGTGTCCATCCTCGGCTACAGCCTAGCCAAGTGGTACCAGCGTGGGTACTGCTGGGAGGGTGAGTGTGCACTGGGCCCTGTTGCCCCAGCTCTTCCTCTCTCATAGCAGTTGGCAATGCCTGGAAGGGCTGCAAACTCCTTAGCATGGTGGGATGCAAAAGTATTTCCTGTGGTGGTTGCAGTGGTTGAAGACTTGAGTGGGTGGCTGAGCAGTTGAGGTGGTGAGGTGAGGCAATGGTGCCTTTATCGAGGGAATGGGGGCTTCTCTCACCCCAGCAAGCAGCCAGCTTCCTCCTCTCTCAGAGCCCATAGGAGGCCATGCCAGGGACCTCTGTGGGCTAGATAAGAGAGCAATGGGCTAGACAGGCCATGCTCCAAGTGATCTCAGTCTGGCTCCATGTGTATCTCTGCCCCTGACTATGGGTCTTGGGACTCTCTCCTAAGCTTGTGGAGGTGTCGGCTTCACTGGGAGTCTCCTGGAATTTGCTGTGATGTTCTCAACTCTGAGACATGGCTGCACTTTTCACAGGACTCTGGGAAAGCTGCAAGGGAAGGGTGTGCTGGAATGCCAAGGGACAGAGACTATTTCACAGATCTGCAGTTAACTTTAACAGAGTCCATGGATGTTTGTTGAGCACCTACTCTGTGCCAATACACTTTTGCCTAATGTGATTTTCTTTAAAATTCCAAGTGAGAAATATGTTATTATAGCCTTCATTTTTATAGATGGGACATGAGGCTGAAGTCGTGGGGTTAGAATGAGGTAGAGTCTAAATTGAAGCCCAGGTCTGGTTCTATTGGGGTCCAGCCTAGGACTCCCTTCATCCTAGGGTAATCAAGACCCTAGCGCTGAAGCAGGCTGGGATGCTCCCACACCATCCTGAGGCTCAGCCCAGCCACCCTCCTCCTCCAGACAGGGGAGGGGGCACCAGACATTCTTGGAAGGGTGATGGACTGCTTTCCCTGGAAGTGTTAACCCTCTCTTTTTGAATTGTCTTCTTAGGGCCTAATTTTGTCTTCAACTTATATCAAATCAGGTGAGTAAATCCAGGGAAGATCTGGGTGAGGTGGGCATTGGGGGTAGAAAAAGAATCAAAGATAGAATAAGAACTGACTGCTTCCTTTTCCTGTCTTCTGTTCATGACCCTAAGAAAATAAAAGAGGGCAGGAGAATCAATTTAGAAAAGTCTCATGAATAAAAACTTGAATGTAGGACTATGTGAAACCCTGATGACAATGATCTTTTTAATATTCACCCTTAGGCAGGGACGATTCATTCATCCATCCATCCATCCATCCATCCATCCATCCATCCATCCATCTCTCCCCCAAGCAGGCAGAGCCAGCCTTCCTTCCTCCCTCCCTCCCTTCCTCCCTTCCTTCCTGCCTTTTCCTTCCATTCTGCCTTTTCCTCCCTCCCTCCCTCCTTTCCTCCCTTCCTTTTTTCCATCTATCCATCCATTCATTCATCTGTCAATCGTCCATCATTGATCATTCCTTCGTTTCTTTCATCCATCCATGCATCCATCCATCTTTCCTTTTTTCCACCTTCCATCATTTCTTCAGAAAGATTCTATCATAACCACCACTACTGTGGTATGTTTCTAAGAGTACAAAGATGACTGGGCATAGTCTCTGTCTTCAAGCATTTCATGTCTATGCTGGAGACAGGTCTGATTACAAATAATGTAATCTCAGGCACAAGAAGGTATCAAAAAGAGACACATATGAGAAAGTCAGGGATTTAGGGAGTGCGAGCTGGAAGTTCTCTTGGCGTTGGTCATCTCATCTACTTGCCATAGGCAGGGCTGCATCTTCTTTGTCCCTGAGAGATGATTATGGTAGGTGGCCCACTTCCTTTTCTGGAAGACAAGTCAGTGAGTTGGTGCCCTGGAGTCAAAGGAGATGGGGTCCAAGGGAGAGGCTAGGTTGTCAGCTCCAGTAGCCTGATTGGATCATCTTTCTCAGGAACCCGAAGGATCTGGAGATAGGTCCACCCTTCACCATCAGTGGTCACATCAGCAGCCCAGATGGTGGCTACGTGAAGTTCTCCAACAGGCTAGTCTGATGCAGGGGCAGCAGCTTATGGAGCCCTGGAGAGGTGAGTTGGAGGTAGGGGAGCTCCCGTGTCAGCCTGATGTCCAAGTAAGGTCCTAAGAGGGTCCAGGCACCCACGCCTTGCACCAAGGACCACTCGGAACTCAAAGAGATTATCTGGTCCATCCCCTGTCTTCTGGTGCTCATCTCAGGCTTGCGGTCATGTTTTCCCCCACCCGCTTCCGGCACTGGGCCGGCCCTGTTTTCTCCTGGTCCACCCAATCCATGCTCGGCCTTTCCTTCCTGGGAAGATTCTGTTCATATTCAAGGTGGAAGCTTCCAGAGCACAGCTTTTAAAATCTCAATTCTTGCTCTAAGATGAAGTTTCCAGATGACCAGTCTCTCCAAGAAGCATCACTCTAGCACTTCAGTTCTGAGCTTTCTGAGCCCAAGAGCTGCCCCTTCTTCATGGCCCACTAACCCTTTGGCCACACTTCCCCTCGCCTGCCTTCCAGCTCCTCCCTTCCTCACATCTCAGTTGCTTTTTCCCATCCAAACCTTTTCTCCCTGCAGCAGTTCCTGCCCCTTCCAGGCTCCTCTGGGCTGCCCTCATCCCCTTGGATCTTCAAGACCTGGCCTGGCCCCTCCCTGTGGAGGATGAGGGGGTCTCCTCTGGATACACACCAGTCTGCAGCAGGGGAGTCCTGGAGAGTCAGGCATCTAGGGATGGAGTCTGGCTGGGCAGCAGTGGCTTTCCCACAGAACTAAAAGAGGCGGACATTCCTCAGGAGGGAGCTGGGCTCTGGGAAGCTCCTGTAGGAGGGGTCGCAGAAGTCCTGGAGAACCAGCCCTGCCCAGTGCAGTCCAGGGTGGGCGAGGCCTCCAGACACCAGCGGGGAGCTTCTTTATGGGGTGTCTCCAGTTACCTCCCGTTGTAGGGTAGACCAGGGCCGGAAAGCTAGTCATAGATTTAACAGGCAAAGTTACGTGGAAACAGGTGATTCCAGACATGGTTTTAACCTTCCCACCTGAGGCCAGCTTCCCGGAAGCCGAGCTGGGCCTTGACTCTGCCCTGCCCCGCTGTCTACTTGGTTCGGGCACTTTCAACCCTCCCCCTGCCCCGTCCCCCATCTGGGCCTGTCTCTCACTGCTGAAAGCCTCAGTGCCTCCCAAACATGGCCAGCTCCCAGTTCTGACGTGCAGTGCTGAGAACAGTCTAGAAACATGTTCTTGTCGCCTCAGCTCCTGGGACGGGGTGGGCACAGAGGAGTGGGTGAGCGCTATTTCACAGTGTTCTGCATTTCTTATGCAAAGGCTGCCCTGTGGCAAAAGTGGGCCGGAAATGGTGGGAGTAGGAAGAGGAACCCAGGCGAGGCTGAACAAACCAGATAACATACCAGGGAAACCAGGAATCCACTGCAGTTTGGTGGACAGCAGGGCAGTTCACCTCAAGAGTCATCACTCCTTCCTCTGGTCTGTGCCCTGCTGGACAGGAGGCAAAGCGTGCACAAGGATATCAGCTCAGAAGGTGCTTAGTGCAGAGTTGTTCAATCCAGAGAGGCAGAGTCCTCAGGGCTGCTGTGGATGGAGTAGGGCAAGAGAAGGGGCCCAGTCACTGCTGAAACCCACAGTTAGAACAGCCAGCAGCCAGCCCCTCTGCTAGCAGTCCAGCAACAGATGCAGGAGGGGGAGGAGGGAAGCTGTGTGATTCTTCTTCCTAGCCTCCCTTTCCTGAAGCCTCGTTTCTTTCTTGTTTTGGGTTCTTGCAGATTGTAGAAGAAGGAAGGCGAGGAGCCTTACCAGCCCTTACCCTATTTTCTGCCAGGGTCTGGGGGCCGTTGTCTCAGCATAGCCAGGCTTTGACTTAATTTCCAAGTCTCTGGATTTGGAGGTCTTCAACCGAGTCTTCTGCCCCTGAGTAAGTGGGAATGGGGAAGGCCCCTTCATGGTTGTGGGACCCCCTCCCTTCTTTGAAGGTCTCTTGGAGTAGCAGGGAGGGGAGATGGGTTGACTTTGGCTTCCTTCCGTGGATTTCATTTCTGAGGACTGGGGCCCCTTTCCTAGCCCCTGGAGTATCTGGCCCCAGTAAAACTTTCTTTCTTTTTCTTTTCTTTCCTTTTTGTTTTTCTTTTTTTGAGATGGAGTCTCACCCTGTTGCCCAGGCTGGAATGCAGTGGCGGGATCTCGGCTCACTGCAACCTCCACCTCCCGAGTTCAAGGGATCCTCCTCCCTCAGCCTCCCAAGTAGCTGGGATTACACGCCTCCATGCCTGGCTAACTTTTACAGTTTTAGTAGAGATGGGGTTTCACCATGTTGGCCAGGCTGGTTCCGAACTCCTAACCTTAAGTGATCCACCCACCTCGGCTTCCTAAAGTGCTGGGTGTGATTTGCTGGGTGTAAAGTGCTGGGTGTGAGTTGCTGCACCTGGCTCGGCCCCAATAAAACTCTCAACCGTACCCTGCTTAGCAGGGATCCCGGGTCTGCAGTCCGTGCCCAGCCACCCTAGGCCCCTGGAAGTGCTCAGAACTCAGCAGCCTTGGAGAAACTTGAAAGGGAGGATGGTTCCCAGGACCCAGGTGGCCTTGGTCCCAGGTCTGTGGCTTCAGGTGAGGAGACAGGGACAGCTGCCTGGGGCTGGGAGCACGGAGGGTATTTCCCATCCCTGGGAGCAGAACTGATACCGGGCAACTTCCTCTTTTAGGGCCCTCTGACGCACCCTCTGTCCCCTCAGCCTCCCCCTCTTTTCCTTACTTCCGCAGGCCACTGGCGAGCACAGCTTTCTTCACCCATGGGGCCCGGGCCCCACCCCTGGACTCTGCGTGTTTCTGTTGATGGTTCTGAAGTGCAGATTCCAGTTTGTTTAGAAATGATTCGGAGCAGATGCCTGGAAATCCAGCCACAGGTTTTGTTGGGCCGGGCACTGGCTGGGCATCCAGACCATGGCTGTGCCAGGGCCTCTCCCAGAACCTCCCCACTGCCTTTTTATGGTTCTTCTTTCCACTGGCCCTAAGAGCCCAGAGGCAGTCACGAGGGCCGGGAGCCCAAGGGCCCCATCCTCAGCTCTGGGCTTCCCACTGACCCTCTCCTCTTTTTTCCTTTTATCTTTTTATACCTTCGTTGACCTCCAAATCACCAAATTCTGCTTATTCTTAATACCAGCTCAAATTTCCCTTCTTCAGGGAGCCTCTGTAAGACTCATGGATGTTGCTCTCTGCTGATTTTAAATACAGATAATCTCAGGCTCCCATAACTTTATTATTGATTATTTCTTTGCATTTATTTATTCATGCTGCTTCCATTATATGCCAGGAACTATGCTACGCACTGTGGGGGCATCCAGTCTCCCGGAAATTAACCTTGCTTTCTCCTATTTGACGGGAATTTCTTGTAGGCGGAATCAGGTTTTAAACCTCTTCTGAGTTCTCCACGGTACTTTGCATGGCTCTGGCCATAGCCAGGAACTTCTCAGGAAATTGTGTTGAAATCAATCTCTCTTCAGAACATGTTGGGCATTGCTTCATCCCTGGTGCAATCCTAGGTGCTCTGAAAACCAAAAGTTTTGATCTCTTTGCATCCTTGACTACATTCAACCCTGTGCTCATGATCACTTACATTTCTGAGACAGAGCACACAGATGGCGGTTTTTCTATATTAAAGTATAACCTAAGGAATGATCAAAGCCACGATGAGGCTGGCAGGTGAAGAGGGAGCTTTTCTCTCCTGTAGGTTCTTCTTCAAGTCTTAATGGTCTTGTCCCATGCCAGTGGCATTGGAGGGGGCCTGGTGCCAGGAGTCAGGAGGGCCACAGTCTATAGGGCCCCACTCTCTGCACCAGGGGTCTGAGAAACCCAAAGCAGGAGCAGATGGGAGGATCATTATTATATTTTTTAAAACTGCTTAGTGATCAAAAACCATCTAGAAGCTGTGATATTTAAACAGATCTGGTACAAAACAGGAAGCTAGTGGCCTGGCCAATTCTCACACTTGGAGACCAGAAGTGAAAATGCTCTGCCTGCCCAGAGTAGCAGCAGGCCAGCAAAACAACAGGTGGGGCCGGGCGTGGTGGCTCATGCCTATAATCCTAGTGCTTTGGGAGGTTGAGGTGGGCAGATCACTTGAGGTCAGGAGTTCAAGACTAGCCTGGCCAACATGGTGAAACCCCTGCCTCTGCTAAAAATACAAAAATTAGCCAAGTGTGGTGGCTCCTGCCTGCGGTCCCAGCTACTCGGGAGGCTGAGGCAAGGGAATTACTTGAACCCAGGAGGCAGAGGTTGCAGTGAGCCAAGATCGCACCACTACACTCCAGCCTGGGTGACAGAGTGAGACTCAAAAAAACAAAAAAAAAAAAACCAGATTGGGCTGTGCTGGAGGTGGGTTTTTCCCTGCAGAGCTATGGGTCTGGTCACCTCCTCCCCAGTCAGGAGGATGAGGTTTCTCATGATAAGCAGGGAACCACTGTGGGAGTGATGGTGGGCCATATAAGAAGTCACATCTATTCTAGTCCCAGTTCCTCCCCTTGTAACTGGTGAGTGCAAGCTCTCTGAGCCCCTGGTGCTGTGTTTGTATAAGGCTGCCATTGGTCCTGAGGACCCTGAGGTCCCTTCCAGCTGAGAGGCTATTTCAGAGCTCAGGTAACTCTGAATAATCCTTTGTCAGCACTTCTAGCCTCAGTCCTAGCTGGCAGCTACCCTGACATTCTTGGTCCCCAAGAACATACTTCTCCCTCCAGGTGGTTTCTAAACAGTTCCACAGTGCTGGGGGTGGAGGAAGTAGAAGAGGATGCGGGTGGAGACATCCATGTGGTGTGTGCGTGCGTGTGTGTGTATTGCACAGCTGAGGCAAGAAGGAGAAGGATCATGTCAGATTGCCTGTTGTATTTCCAGAGGGCCTGCTCATGACAGAGGCTCAATAAACGTTTTGCCCGAAGAGCGAATGCATGTTGAATGTTTTCATGGTCCTTTGCCTTGTCTCCTGACCACATTTGCTTGCCTTGGTGTTCCTGTTTGGCCTGTAGCCCTGAGTTCCTACAACACCCAAGAGTTGTAGGGTGAAAATAGCAGGGAAGGG